ACCGACCCGATAAACGCCTGCCGTACCCTGATGTAGGCCTCGTGGTGGCTCAGCGCAAAACAGGGGGCCATCCACCACCACCACAACGCAGAAGAAAAAAAAGATCGCTGAACAATCACAAATGAACACTTTACAGGCACACTGAAACGCTTTTGGCTTTTCTCATGAAATTTTGCTCACAACACACGACCACCTTATTCGGATCTTTTCTGTATCCGCTTCTCCCCTAGGATATTTTAATCTTTCACTTTGGTGGATGTCCGACCTGGGTGGAAGAGCTCTCCCACCAGTGTGTTGTGCGCAAGCAGCCTGCACAGCCCACAAAACCAAAGTCCAACATCTGGAGCAGTCTGGGCTTCTCCTCGTCCTCCTCCTCCAATTCCCAGCAAAACGTTAAAAAACATCTCTCTGTTGAGGCAGAAGCTCTCCACCTGGGCCCTCTAGTCTCCTTCCAGGGTCGAATCACCTGTGTTGCCGTCTTTAATGAGGCTCTGCCTGAAGATTATGTCAAGTGGGTCGTTCAGGGTGGTAAGCTCCCTTAAAGTTTTAATAAAAGTTTTTTTTTTAAAATAATATCTACTTCCTTGCATGCTTTATTCGAATCAAGCCTACGCAGTAGAAAAACTATTTAATAGATTTCTGGAGGTAGCCTCCGTTTTTATGGTTTGCATCAGATATTTTGAGTCCTTTGTCAATATAGTCGACGAGACTTCTTTGAAATGGTCGCTGAATTGTCATCCTTCATTTTCCCCCCACCGCCCCCATCACTATCAGTGTAATTATCGTCGTCTTTGAGCTGAGGGGCACAGACAGTAACTGCACTTGTCTTGGTACTTGGGTTCTTCGATCGAATGCGGACGATGTGAGGAGAGAGATTCCTATGTAAAGGGCGCTAGGTTAGATTTCTGATTAATTTATGCCAGGTTTTCAGGGGGTTTCACGCGTGTCGTTAACGGACAGGTGGTTCCTAAGTAGTTGGCCGCGACCATTTATAGCATTTTGGCGTTAATTTTGGCAACTGGGCTGGAGATTAGGGAACTTTTTAGCGTTCCCTTTATAGACTTGTTTGTTCTGTCATTGAATGTGAAAACGTTCGTTTGGTGGATGGATGCTAACTGCGCGCTTACGGGGTTCCGTCGTTCCGTTCTGCCTTGGGGGGGGAGACTTTAAAGTTCCGCCAGTTGCCGTTCATTGACTAGAAAATGAGACATATCTGACACAGGCAAGGAAGACTTTTCTGGCTTATGAACATCTAATCAACAGTTCACGGGTTCGAGCCTCGGGTCACGAACGTCGGAGATTTTTGCAGATAGGCACACACTGATCAGTTACGGGATACAGTCTTCCGTCCTTGGTGCATGTGGGGCTCTCTCTCGAGCCACGCCGCAAGGCGGCTAATAATATAGGTAGAAGGACATAAGTGACAAGGACAAGGGAGGCTGAGGTTGTATACGGCTGGCTGATGCTGCCTAATAAGTCATAAATGGCCATTCCAATCGCCCTTGGCTTTATCGATAATCTGATCGATTTTCCGAGGAGCTCGCGTATTTTCGGCGTTGACCATAGCGCGCCACATCAGATAGACTAGATGCGACTACTGAGACCAAACCGAAAGCTGTTATAATTTAACGAGAGCGGACAGTATTCTCCGGATGGCACCAAGGAATTGGGCGGCTGAATTGATAGAGATTTTGGTGTTCCTCTCCCCGATGGAAGTTTATTTTTCAGAAGAAAAAATAGCTGCGGTCGCTGGTATATGGCCCGGCGTTTTGGAATCTCTGTCGAACTCATCATCAGAATCATTTGCTGAAAAGGGTTTAGTTTTCACTTGTTCTTAAACTCTCATATCTCTGCTGCTGTTGGTCCCATGTAGGAGTCCAAAATCTGAGGTCAATACATCTGTTTTTGCCGTGATTGAACCATCTGGTTTTATTTTAGAGTTAAGAAAATTCCCATCCAGGCGTTTCAGAAGACCAGTTATCGAGCATACGCGTGCTTTCGATAAATTATCCTCGGGCCAGTACATTTATATGCGACATGCGACCAATAATGTGCGTCTTTTCATACAATTGGAGTTCGTGAAAAGGGACAGGGGGAGAAAAAACAGTGGGTTAGGGGGAAGCCGTTTCGGAGAAGAGGGACAAAATGGGATACGCGGATGTGTGCTTACATTTGAGCGACCGTTGGCCACGCTAAGCGCGGAGCTTGCAGGAGGGTCTTCAGTTGCGCTCAAGGCCGGCTTCCTCAACCGGATAGCGGTTGATTCTGCTGTTAATAGCAGCCGCTGACCAGAGTTTTGGGGTTGTTTGGTAGGATAAAGGCTCCACAGGAGCAAAGCAACGTGTGAATGTACGTAGAGATGGTTTGAGCTGGCAACCTATCATTGAAAAGGAAGCTTGTTTGAGAGTAATATCCGAACTCTCGCTACTGGGAATGTTTGTGCGGCTTCTCAGAAGTTCATTTGCTGCCTCCCCTTGAAGTGGGACTTGGGGGAACAATGTCTTCTTTTGCACAGTAAATGTGGTGGATTTTACTGGTCTCGCGCAAATATTCTTTGAAAAAATATCTCAGGATACCCGTTCTTGCGAACCAGGTCCTCGATTTTCTTAAGCTACTCCTCGATATTGTCTGCCGAGCAAATTTTCCTAGGCATTTGCGCCAAGCGGCGGACTATATTTCGCTTCTATTGGATGAGTACGAAACTGCTTAAGTTCGTATATTGTCCGGACCTGGTTTTCTTCTGATGAAGGCCCCTCCGGATGCTACAGTCCGCTATTCGACTCAGGAGGACACCCAAGAAAGGAAGCGAACCTGTCGTTTCCACCTCCAGTGTAAACTTGACTGACGAATGCGTTTGATTTAAAGCAATTAAGGCGGCATCTGCATTGGTTTCTGTTGCGACGATTGCACATATGCAATGAACACATCGACCGTAATGTCTAAGCTCATTGATCTGATCAACTAGTTGAAAATTATCCGATTTACGTCTGAGGGAATCGCTAACAGAGTAGTCCAAGAGGCCAGCCCATAGCAACTTACTGGACCGATATGCTTGATTGAGGGCATTTAAGAGTGCATCGAAGACACGCGTACGCCCGCCTACTAGTCTTCTGATATTCTTTTTTGAGGTTCGGTTCCTTTCTTATTCCACATTCCAACCGCAGGAGCTCAGAGACAAAATGATTTCTCTTGCAGTCCTATTCTCAAAAGCTTCTAGTGGGTTTCGAGTATGCTATCGCATCTTTCGATCACCTACAGTGGATTGAAACCCGAAACTTCCCCTCCCTCCTGTCTCATTACTCACCTACGTGTTTGCTTAGTGCGCGTCTCTCACAGAGTTGGTGGCTCTTCCAATCTCCACTCTATCCCTCTCTCGTCCTCCTTCTCTCCTCTCCCAAGGCGTCAACAACTGCAACCTCATCACCGACATGTTCTTGCAGTCCAACTCGCTGAGCCTCCTCTTCTTTTATCACGCCAAGGCCGTAGACGGGGCTGGCCAGGTTTGCCTGGACCTGGCCAAGTCTGGCGTTGGCCGCGTTGCCAACACAGCACAGACGCTACCACCAGCAAGCGGGGACTCGGTCTCAAACATTTCCCCAGAGGATTCTACCGTTGCCAACAGCTGTCTCACGGCTCTCGAGTTTCCAGCCCACCTCATTGGTCCATGCCAGCTAACCTCAACAGCTTTTGTGGTCAGTCTTGTTTTTTGTTCTGTTCTTACTACTATTTATGCTGCTGCTGCTATTTCCTCCCTACAGGCATCTTTTCTGATAACCTACCTCCGAAGTCTTTATCGGCCTTCCAGAGCATTTTTATGTGCAAGTGCTCCCTGAATTTCCGTCTTTCGCTTCTTTCCAGAACATTTCTGTTGTCAGCTTGGTAGTAGTA